AAAACACTGACACACTCGGAGCTCGGAGGACTCGGCGCCCAAAACAAAAACGCCCGAAAAATAAACCGGGCGCATGCTCCGAACCCCCCCCCTCCCCCGCGAGCAACGGGCACGAAAAAAGAGAGAGAAAAAACACACACAGCCCCCCTGCCCCCCTTCAAGGCTCACTGATTTTCGCGGACAAAAGGGGCCAATTTGTGGCTCTAATTACTCCGCGCTCGGCGCCGTTGCCGGGGTGTTCGTTCGTTTTTCCGAGAGGTTACGACGACTTTTCGGCATCGGCAGGTTGATAATTGAGATCCATAGACAAAGCGATGGACAAAGAATACAAAGAAAAGATCCTATTGGTGAAAACGGACGGTTGCAACGGACAAAACTGACCCGCACAATTTGATTGTAGCAAACCTTGGCTGACGGCCGAAATCGGCGCGACTCTGACACGGCGCCGGGATACAACTATTCGTACTCGATGGATGTCCGTGTTGCATATTCGATGGTATGAAGGCGCGCTGACTTTCATCCAACATCGACGCGACTCTGACACGGCGCTGGGATACAACTATTCGTACTTAATGGATGTCCGTGTTGCATATTCGATGAAATGAAGGCGCACTGGCTTTCACTGCGCTCACTGAAACTCAACTTACCTCCCAGAGTTTCTGAGAAATTTTCATTCAGCGTAAGCAGAAATCACGGAAATGTCCCCAAGACTTCAGAAAAACATTTTGAGACATTGAAATACGTCAGAACACATTTTGAACATTTTAAAAACTGCTTTTAAAATGAAAATTTTCTCTTCCAACGCCTTCATTTTTAAATTTAAGTAGATGCTAAGAGACAATATATCGTTCGACGACGCGACGCTGTCGTGGGTGAAAGAAAAACCAATTTTTCAAATTGCGTAAACCGAGATCCATGAAAAAATTGGAAAAATAAAAGAATTTTGAAGTGCAACTGGGCAATGCCCTAATATTCAAGGATTAAATTTAAGTAGATGCTAAGAGACAATATATCGTTCGACGACGCGACGCTGTCGTGGGTGAAAGAAAAACCAATTTTTCAAATTGTGTAAACCGAAATCCATGAAAAAATTGGAAAAATAAAAGAATTTTGAAGTGCAACTGGGCAATGCCCTAATATTCAAGGATTCTGCCCAGGTCAGAGCAGTTTAATCAGATCATCCTGACACTTTCCGTCCTTTCTATAAAGAAGGATATTATAAAGATCTTTGTTCAGAAAAAAAGCAGCCAAGGAATTGTTTTCAGAATGGCTCAAACGGTAATTCCTGGGTATCATCATGACAAAGCCATCAAATATCCTTCAAACTTAATTATCTTCGGTTCTATTTTAATTTTTAAAATACCTAAAATGATATTGGGAATGTGTTACTCAGTTAGCCATAGATAGTATTCGATACATCAAACAGGTGAGATTGTATCGATATCGATTGGTTCAACATGTTGTTTGGCCAGAGAGGCTTTGTTTGTTCAGATAAAAAGCAGCCAAGGAATTGTTTTCAGAATGGCTCAAACGGTAATTCCTAGGTATCATCATAACAAAGCCATCAAATGGACATTTTTATTCTAAAAGGAATGATGTGCATAGGGTTTGCGTCAGACACAGTTCCTTTTGACTTAAATACGTTCTACTATCCTTCTAACTTCAGTATCTTCGGTTTTATTTTAATTTTTAAAAAACCCAAAATGATTTTAGTAGAGTTCTACCTAGATAGTTATTGCTTTATTTACTTAATTCACTTTTTGTTCTGTTTTGTCCACAAAGACGGAGAAAAGCCTTAGACACCGATTGCCATTTCGGCCGGGCGCTTGATGAAACATTAGGTTCGAGAGCTTCGTTCAGAAAAAAAGCAGCCAAGGAATCGTTTTCATGGTTGTTCAAACGGTAATTCCTAGGTATCATCACTACAAGCTCAACACTGCCGTGCTAAGGAAAAACGTGGTGTGAACATTCGATCAGAGTTGCTACATCTCCCTTGATAAAACTTGTATTTTTGGCAACATTCATGCATATTTTTCCTTGAAATTTTGAAATATTTCAGATTAAATTGCGAACCACCCACTTCAACTAATAGGATCGCTCCACACTCCTTATGTCTTCTTTAGAAATCATCTTTGTCTATCAGTACTAACAATCAGCCTGCAGTTAGCATCGGTTACCGGAACCGAGGGAATCGTTACCTCGAAACTAACATTGTACCTAGCTACGACTATAAAAAAAAGGCTGGACTTGGATTCATTAAGAGAATTGTAAGGGTAACGAATCTGTTTTCTCCGGGTAGAAATCTGAAAATTTGTCAACCATCCGACAGCGGCGCTTTGCAACAAGAAAAACTTAATTCCCGGAAATACAGCTTCTCATTGAGCGACGGGGTATGGCCGGTGTGAAANGGGGGGGGGGGGGTGTTGTCCTGTATAGTTGCATCGGTAGCCGCCGCTCTTTGAGGCGCAGTCATCGGTTGGCTTGTTCGATGATGCGCGAAGCGAGTCTACGATGAAACTGCATTCTGTTGATGGCACCTCGGACCATCAGCCGGATGGAAATTGATTGACGAACATCTCAGGATACGAATAGCTCTTCCACCGAAACAGGAACTCTCGAAAGTCCGAGAAAACAGTATTTTATAAAATCTGGAGCAACTTCAAAATACTTATTGATGAGTTAACTGACGTAACTTTAAAAATCTTGATCCGGTTACTTGATAATGACATTTTGAAATGAATTGAACATTCGTTCAGACAGCCAAGGAGTATCATCAGAAATTAAATCTGAATTTAAAAAGCGAAACCATACTTGGAATCATCATGACGAACAATGAGAAAACTTCGTTGAGAGAAAAGTTAAAATGATTTTCCACCAGGGATAATGCTGAAGTATCACTGGGATTTGTTCAGACAGCCAAGGAGTATCATCAAAAATTAAATCTGAATTTAAAATGCGAAACCATACTTGGAATCATCATGACGAACTATGGAAAACAATAGGTAGAATGATTTTCCACCAGGAATAATGCTTTGAAAGTATCTCTGTGATTTGTTCAGACAGCCAAGGAGTATCATCAACAATTAAAAGTACAGGATGATAAAATGCGAAACCATACTTGGAATCATCATGACAAACGATTAGAAAACTTCATAAAGAAATTAACTTGAATGGTTTTAAAAGGGATACACTTAGTTTGAATTACTTCGAAGATTCGTTCAGACAGCCAAGGAGTATCATCAACAATTAAATCTGAATTTAAAATGCGAAACCATACTTGGAATCATCACGACGAACAATGAGAAAACTTCGTTAAGAGAAAAGTTAGAATGATTTTCCACCGGGAATAATGCTTTAAAAGAATCTCTGTGATTTGTTCAGACAGCCAAGGAGTATCATCAAAACTTAAATGTACAGAACGCCGAAACCATACTTGGAATCATCATGACAAACGATTAGAAAACTTCATGAATAAATAAACTTGAATGGTTTTAAAAGGGATATACTTCGTTGAATTACTTCCAAGATTCGTTCAGACAGCCAAGGAGTATCATCAAAAATTAAATCTGAATTTAAAATGCGAAACCATACTTGGAATCATCATGACGAACAATGTAATAACTTCGTTAAGAGAGAAGTGAGAATGGTTTTCCACCAGGAATAATGCCTTAAAAGCATCTCTTAGATTTGTTCAGACAGCCAAGGAGTATCATCAACAGTGTATTGTACAGGATGATAAAATGCGAAACCATGCTTGGAATCATCATAACAAACGATAAGAAAACTTCATAAAGAAATAAACATGAATGATTTTAAAAAGGATATACTTCGTTTGAAATACTTCAAAGAATTGTTCAGACAGCCAAGGAGTCTCATCAAAAATAAATATGATGATGATATGCGAAACCATACTTGAGATCATCATGACAATCAATTACAAAACTTCACAAAGAAATAAACTTGAATCATTTTAAAAGGGATATACCTATGGAAATATATCGATTCTTGGAAGAGCCAGGTGTTCCGACAAGAATCGATTATTCAACATAGGTTTAAAGGGAGAAAATCCGATGTTGCCAAATTGGTGGATCCGCCTCTGTGGTGAACTCGAGTACACGGGTGTGCCAAGTAAAGCGGTTGAAAAGCCGAGACGGTTTTCCTTGGACTGCGGCCAGGAGCCACGATCGTTGATCCGCTCAAGGAAAATTCCGCTTGGCTCCCATTGTCGGATTCAGCAAATTGGAAACATCGTTTTTATCCATTTAAACCTATGGAAATGTGTTCATTCTTGGAGGGACCTGGTGCTACGACAAGAATCGATCATTATTTAACATAGGTTTAAATGGAGCCTCTCTCTTCATCACCGCCGATGCGAACAGCGCCTGCAAAACTGAGAGAATACTGCAAGCATCGCGCCATCTCCCCGAACCCAATTCTAGCCACGCTCGCGGCTCTTGACTCACGAAAGTAATGACAGTAAGTGAAGTAATGACACGAGATTCCACAGTAGTAGAACCGTGGATTTTGATGACTGTAATGATGAGCACGGTGATGTTACCAAGTTCACCGTAATATTACTGTGAGTACAAAAATACTACCATGAGCATAGTTTTATGCTACTACACTGGAAAAAAACACATTGGATCTAGAGTCCAGACTCTTAAAAACATCGACAAGAAAAAATACTCTTGATTCAATCGGATTTTTGCTTCAATCAAGAACCAACCCTGTTAATTTGAGCGGATTTCCTTTTGATTTAAGCAAAAATCTGATGGAATCAAGAGTATTTTTTCTTGTCAATGTTTTCAAGAGTCTGGACTCTAGATCCAATGTGTTTTTTTTCCAGTGTATACTCATCAATAATCTTACCAAAATCCACGGTTCTACCACCGTGGAATCCCGTGTGACATTACTACCGTGCTAACCGCGAAATAAGCGTGTTTTCTTTCTCCGTGTACATAGCCATTGCTTCGAGGGAGAATATTATGACTCGGGCTTACCTGAGAGAGCCTTGATTTCCGGGAACCTTCAAACACGCCTCAGCTAGAGATGATTAGATCTGAAACACACGAAAACACGCTACATTAGTGCCACTTCGAAGATAAACCGAGAACAAATAAACGAGATTAAAATCGACCCTGGCGGAGGGTTAAGCCTGCGCGAGATTCTGAGGGAGAAGAAAAAAAACAACTTTCGCTTTTTTCCTCGTCTGGAACAACAACTACCCTCGAATTAAAAGTTTTTCGCGGAAAGCTCGGAGCTTTTCCGCGACGGAAAGCTCACAATTTTCCCGCCGGGCATTTTACTCGAGGTCGAACGAAAAGCCACCGTGCGAATAAGATTGTGAGCCACGTGTCAAAATTATCGAAGAACTTTTTCATAAGATTCAGACAGGGTTGCAATAATTTCTTCATCGTCAAATACCCTGACTATTTTTGCTATACCGTAACTCCAAAATTTTCGGATTCCCCGACTTTCCCCGATATCGTATTAAGGCTTCCACCTTTAATCCTCTTTATATTACACCCACTTCTGCTAAACAAACCTCGCAAAATTCCCTGAATTTTCCCGATCGCCGCAAATCCCGAGTTTTTTATTCGTATAGTCTGCAAATCTACACTTTAACGGTCAGACTTTCATCGAGCACATAAAAATCGAAGGTGCTGCAAGAAGTCATCATTTTCAGTGCAACCGTTTGTTCACTAAAAATGGGGCGTTGTGAGGAATACGCAATCCATTCTGGCTCCTTCCAGAAGTGAGCTTGAAATTCTTGGTTTTTCTTTCTGAATTCTAAACATTAAAAAAATTCTAAGGACAAATTTTTTTATACTATAAGTACTTTCATTTCATAATTATTCGATATAGTGTCAAAAAGACCTGAGACAGCAAGGGGCGTTTTTCATGATAATTTAACTTTAAAAAAAAAAAAACAACATATATCAGCACGTTCCTGACTTAGCCAAATTAAAGGTCAAAGTTTGTCAAAGGTCAATGTTAGTTAACGTTTCGAAAGTAACGCACAGTAGTGAACGCTGACTTCTGACGCGAAATTTCCAGACTCTCCATTTTCCCCAGCTTTTCCCGGACGGTTAGGGAACTCGTCACCCTGCAAGGTCAATCTGATCCGAACTTGGCGATACATTGTACGCATTTAAATCAAACAGAACGATATCCATCATGTTATGAGCCCTGTCATGCATGCATTCTTACGGGTCTCAGGGCTCATGTCGGAATGGATATGGTTCCTTTTGATTTAAATGCGTTTAATTTTGACGCGACGCCGCTGCAATCACTATTTCGGTGTGGGCGGACTGTCCTCGCGACGAGTGACTAACGGCCCTTTGTTCCGCGCCACACCGCTCAGTGAAAAACGGCGAATGTGCCTCCGAACGTTGCCAACCTACTAGAAAGACAGAATGTATCTGGAAAACTTGTACATATCTCCCTTTTCTTCCACCCTACACTGGAAAAAACCACATTGGATCTAGAGTCCAGACTCTTGAAAACATCGACAAGAAACAATACTCTTGATTCAATCAGATTTAAGCTTCAATCAAGAACCAAGCCTCTTAATTTGAGCGGATTTCCTTTTGCTTTAAGCTTAAATCTGATTCAATCAAGAGTCCTTTTTCTTGTCAATATTTTCAAGAGCCTGGACTCTAGATCCAATGTGTTTTTTTTTCCAGTGTAAATATTCGCGATGGACCGCTACACAAGGTACGAACATCATCGTTTGGATATGTGTTTCTGGTGCACAATTGAATCGGTCAGTTACAAAAGGCTCAAGCGTCAGATATAAAATGCGGAAAAAAACGGTAAAAACTATATAAACAAGCCCGTTTTAAATTGCAGGTCAATTAATAATGTGATCAATCAATTTATCATCGTTTTAATATTTTAGAGCTCTGAGATTCAGAAGGGATCGATTGAAACGGTTATTACCATTTTTTCTTCAATTCTTCAGGGTGTCTGGTTTTTTTCATTTTGGGAAAGCCTGATTTTTCCTGATTTTTGACTGCTAAATTCGGATTTCATAATTTTTCCGAATCCTGATCAAATCCTGATTTTTGTGGATGTGAATTGTGGCGAATGTACCCAACTTCACAAAAATAGCTCGATAAAAAAAATCCGATCGGACGGCCGACTTTTCTCAAATCCTGATTTTACGACCGATTTTTCCTCAAATCCTGATGAAATCGGGATTAAATCCTAATTGACCTCAAATCCTGATAGAATCGGGAAACTCTTGATGCTAGACACCCTGTTCTTAATTTTGGCGCTTGAGCCCTTTTGTATCTGACCGATTCAATTACACGTTAAACACGATTGGCCCAACGAAAATTACTGAAATCCACTCCCGAATAGGTTGGTACCGTTTTTATTGAGCATTGCTGACGAAAAATTTGAATTTTCCGCTCACAACGAAAACCGGAGTGAGTGTATACTTGAATCTAATTAATAGCCGCAACTATTTCAGTAGGCGTCTTATGGGTAATGTTCCTCCCCCACCCTATGTGTTGTCCGAAGTATGAACGAAAATTCAGGGTGTCCACTATTTCATTTTGGATTTTCCTGATATCTTCCTAATTTTTTCTTGAAAACAGTTAATAAAAAACGGGTGGTGAATACAAACATCGCAATCGGAGGAATGCATGTTCCCAGTCTCTCCATTGCTTTCTGCGCTGAATTCACCGCAAACTGTACCAAAAGGAATACAAAATATGTGTTGGTTTACATTTCACTTCTTTTATCAACCAAAAGTAACACAAGAACACAAAAACTTTTATCAGTGGTCCACTTACTCCGCGGTTTCAGGAGATTTCAAGGGAAAAAATTTATTTTAGATCGAATTTGGCAACATTAAGATGTTCATACGGCGTTTTTCCTCCGAGCACCGAGCAGAGTGTATCGACTACACATGCCAAATGGACGAACGACAGGTTACAAGTCGAGATTGGAAATTTGTCAAAACGGCACCACATCAGGAAGAGCATAGCCCCGCAGTCGCAGCGTGAAAATAGAGCTGGATTTCAAGGTCAGGGATCCAAGGGGGTGGGGAGCATTATTGTGACGGGCCGTGGCGTGACGTTCTTTGCGATATATCGAATGATCTGCCGTATAAACCTACGGAAAAAGATCGATAAACAACATTTTCACAAAGAGCTCTTTGATAATCGATTCTCTACCACAGTTTCATATGGGGGGATATCGACAATCGATCGTTCACGCCTCGCCACTGGTGGCGGGGGGGGGGGGGGGGGACAACGGCCGATGCCTTGCGAATCTGACACATGACAGACCAGGGTTGCCAGTTTTGATGAGAGAATTTCGTTTCGAAGTTTCCAGACTTCCTTTGTCACCGCTGAAAAATTCATCACTCGTTTTTCCAGGAGTGTGCGGCATAACACCGCAATCACACGCTGAATGTGGGAGCTGAATGTGACTTGAATGTGGAAGTCATCGGCCCGATGCCTGAATTTTGCGCGTGACGCGCAAAATTCAGCAACGATTCTCAGCAACCATCGGACCAATTTTGAATTTGTCTGAACTACTCGAGTAGATTTAATACACATCTGGTTGAAAATAACTCGAATTTGCTCAATTTCAGCCGTTGGGCGATGACTGTTGACTTCCACATTCAGCTGCTAAATTCAGCGTCTGATTGCGGCTTGAAGCATGGAATGCGGAGAGCATTTCTAGTCCAAGGTTGCAGGATCGATGTAAGCAGCATGCAATAAAGAAAAATTACGGCAGATTTTACCAGAAGTACGGTCAATTCTATGGCGCAATGCGTGAAGTATCTCTACAGTCTTGTAGGCGCTATGCGTTTCACGCGCCGATCGCTGCTGAACGCACTACGTTTGACGCAATGCGTGAAGTATTCATGGAGTCTTGTAGGCGCTAATACGTGTTCCATGCTGACCGGTGCGTCGAGGGCTTCTCCTTCCCATCTCAAGTCCTCGTCATCATGGCTCTCTGCGCCGCGCCGCTCCGGGCCAAATTGCATGTTTGGATTCTCTCTCAACTTCTGTCTCTTCACCGAAAGACGAGCAAATTAGAAATTCCTACACTTTAACGCTCAGGAAATGAGAGTTTTTTTCGCCTTTTCTCGTTTGTAATTTTTTTTCTGAATCAGATTTTTTTATTGATACTTACATTTGAAAAAATTACAACATTTGCCGCCCCCCTAAATTTGCCGCCATGGGCCGCGGCCCTTGTGGCCACCCCCTTAATCCGGCCCTGACTCTTGCACACCAAGATGCTACGTAATATTTAACATGACCGACACCAACTCGCCAAAACACACGGGACGAGATAAGACTTGATCAAATGGCGTGTTTATGCATACATTTGTCTTGCGTTGAAAAAGACCGTGGTGCTTCCTCACGATTTGCGCGCGGAAGCGTCAGCCATGTTGAATACTGCGTAGCATCCTCGTGCGAAAAGATTGGAAAACAACTCCTCTTACAAAATGTTCACCTGTGCCATAATATTATTTTTGAAACAGACAGCTTAAAAAACGCATATTTCTTGCACGGATTGTGAAGTTGGAAGAGTATTAACGACTTTCCCGATGCGCTGATCGTAATTTTTAAGCCATTTCGTATGAGAAATAACTCTTCTTATCGCTCTAGCTGAAGTGTGCAACAGTCCTACTTTTACCATACTTTCGGTGAATGCGGTTAGGGTTACACATGTCTTGTCTGGAGGGTATGGATTCGATCGACACGAATCGATCGCAAAATGAAAACGTGAGTAATCGATCGACACCGATCCGGTCGACAAATTATAAAAAAAACCGATGTCTATTCGATCGACATGAAATGATCGAAAAATAAAAACGTGAAAAATCGATCGACACCGATTCGGTCGACAAATTATAAAAAAAAACCGATGTCTATTCGATCGACATGAATCGATAGAAAAATAAAAACGTGAATAATCGATCGACACCGATTCGGTCGACAAATTATAAAAAAAAACCGATGTCTATTCGATCGACATGAATCGATCGAAAAATAAAAACGTGAATAATCGATCGACACCGATTCGGTCGAC